TCTGGGCTGGTGGTTGTCTCTGCTGCCCCAGGAGGTCCGGCAAATAGGGCTGGAGTTCATTCTGGGGATTTAATTCTTGCAATTGATGATATGAGTACTGAGAGCATGGGATTATATGATGCTGCTGAACTCTTGCAGTAATTGTTTCTTTTCTTTTTTTATTTTTTTCCTAAGACTCATTGGAGTTAGTAAAAAATCAAAATTGTGATGATATTTTACCCTTGTTATCTTTCATTCATCAGTCTTCTTTCCAAACTACCAGGGTTGTTTTTTAACCTGATATTTGGCTTTAGAGGAAAACACAAAGACAAAGCTCTTCAAAGGTGTTTGTAACATCATGTATTTGTTTCAGTTGTTCCTTAGTTTGGTAGTCACTTCATTTATATGTTTTACTTTTTGCATAGCTATCCAGTGACATCGGGAAAGTTCTCTTTCTCGTTTTTTTCCTCATCTTTTCTTTTTCAATATTGCAGTCCATTGGTGTCTGATGATTTTATTTTTGTCACTATCCTGCTTATTCCTTTTGTTTTGGATTTCATTATTTATTGGATTAGTTTTGGGGAGAATGGATATATTTATGTTTTCCACAAATCCTAGACTTACCTGGCCAAGAATTCCGCGTGACTATCCTGCACCTTTAATGTTTTATTCAAGTTTTTTCTTTAGTTGAGAACTCTATAACTTGATATTTTGAACGATTTGATAGGGGCCCTGAAGGAAGTAGAGTTGAGCTAGTTGTACGTCATGGTTCTGAGACAAAGAACCTCTCCTTGGTGTACGTATATAGTCGTTTGTTTGAGAATTTCTGTCCTTCACTTCACTGTTATGTTCTGAGTTATAATCCATCATAAGTTTGTAGTTTTGGACATTCAATTTGACCTGGCTTTGGAGTTACCAACTACACTTTTTCTGTTGTATTATTGATTAGAAAAAGCTTTAGGAAAATGATAATACATCTTAACACAAGTTATAATTTGATTTTTCAAACAATAACTATTTGTTAGCTGCTGCATTTCAGACGAGAGAAAGTTTCACTGAATCCAGTTAAGTCTCGAGTATGCAGAACATCTAGCTTGGGAGATGATGGTCCTCTGGTTGGATATATTAAATTAACAACATTCAACCAAAATGCTTCCGGTACGGTACCTACTGGCTCTTGCTATGCTTAACGGACTAAGCTACCCCTCTTCAATACATTTATCAAAGATTTGATCTATGAACTTCGAGGCATCATCCATTCCTATCTACTGATAGATCAAATTTTTGATTTACTAACTTAATGAATAATTGGCATCTGTTGTAAAGTCTTTTTAATTAGCTTTATTTTCTGACAAGCTCGCCTTTCCATATTCCTTTATTATTTTATTTTAGTTTTTTTCTTTTTCCTCTTTCCACCAAGTTCTCATGATTATTTCCTTTTAGGTGCTCTGAGGGAGGCAATCGAGAAATTGAGAGGAAATAATGTAAATGCCTTCATACTGGACCTCCGGGATAATAGGTAACATCCTCCCAATGTTCATCGCATTATTCTCTAAGTTGAGTTCTTGAATTAGCACAACTTGTTTCAGTGGTGGACTTTTTCCTGAAGGAGTAGAAATCGCTAAGATTTGGTGAGTCGCTTGTCAGATTTACTATTTTCTAAGTGTATAGTTAATCATGCTGTAGTATTCGTATTTGTCAAACAAATATCTCGTGATGAGGATCAATTTCCAAAGGAGAAAAAACATCAAAATGGTATTTGTAATTTCTAAGATAGTTAATTTTAGTATACATCAAGAGGTAGTTTCTGTAAGTGTCCCCTGTCACTCCCGTTATCATTGGCCATATCATATTTTTTGTTCTGATAAAAGTATTATTAGTAATTATCAGGTTGGACAAGGGTGTCATCGTATACATTTGTGATAGTCGAGGGGTGAGAGATATATACGACACCGATGGAACCAATGCCACAGCAGCCTCTGAACCATTGGTTGTGCTGGTATGTACACTTTTTCAATTCTACATTTTACATGGGGTTTTATATTTAAATATTTAGGAAAAAGGAAATTTGTACCCCAATTCTACATTTAAATATATAAATATTTACATGATGCGGCTAGTCTTTGACAAAATAATGGGAGATGTTCACTTTCAGTACTTGAAATATACCACATTTTTGCTTTTGGTACCCGAGTTTCCAACGTGAAACTTTTCAAAATTAATCACTTTATTTTATCATACGATACCTCGAGATTCATAAAAATCCCTGTTAAAAGTTCCAAAAAATTTTGGCCAAAATGTGCTTTAAAGTTTGACCGAGTTCTACCAAAAATCCCACCTTTGAATTCTCATGAAAAATACACATATAGAAAACCAATTTCTTGGGGAACCCAACAGTGTATCCCGATCATCAATCGAGTCCCTCGATCTCCAGATATAAGACAGAGAAGTTTCCAGTTTTCCGGCGAGTTACGGCGGCTGCCAGATATAAGACAGAGAAGTTTCCAATTTTCTGTCGAGTTGTGGCGGCTGGGAAAGTCCAAGGATTATTTCTGGCAATTGAATGACTCGATTTATGATTGAGATATACCGTTGGATTATTCAAGAAATTCATTTTTCATGAAAATCCAAAATTGGATCATTGGTAGCACTCGGTCAAAGGCGCATTTTGGCCCAATTTGTTTGGAACTTTTTATGACGATTTTGACATATCTCAAGATATCATATGGTAAAATAAAAAAAAAAAAATTGTTGGATAGGTCGAGCTATGATCTTCATAACAGTATATAATTTATTGAAATTCTCCCCTGGAGGCGGCAGCGGCGGCGGCATGCGTCTGCTGTCAATTTTAACAATTTTTTTAATGCTTGGGCCAAAAGCGGTTAATTTTGAAAACTTTAGCAACCACAACTTATTAAGTTGGAACATCATGTACCAAAAGCTAACAATTTTTTTAATGTTTGTGCCAAAAGTTGTTAATCTTGAATACTTTAGCAACCAAAACTTAATAAGTTGGAACATCATGTACCAAAAGTGAAAATGTGGTATCCTTCGGTTAACAGAAGTGATTTTTTCCCACAAAATAATTAAAGGTTTTGATTGAAAATGATGAATGGACGAAAAGTATAAAAATTTATTAAGCTTGAATATGGGGTACCAAAAAGGAAATGTATATAGTTATCAAATGAGAACGGGTATAGTTGGGGTACCATTAATGATTATTTTCCTCTGGCTATTCTTTCCTCACTTCTTGATTTTGATGTTATTTGTCTGGTTGGGCAAAAATTTCACATCGCTTTCGTTGGGCTAATTACGAAAACTATCACTGATATTAACTTTGTTATGAAAATACCCAATATTATATTAAGACCCAGTTATCTATTAGGAATACAGTGACCTCTTCTTGATGCTTGTATTTACAAACAAATACTCGCTCAGGGGCAACTTCTATCAAAATCTTGAAAGACAATTAGGATTTTTGTGTAATTTGGCTATACTGCATGGGTGCACCTTCATGTTATGGAAGTTTGTGCTGAAAAATTCCTCCTCTATAGGTAAATAAAGGAACAGCAAGTGCTAGTGAAATTTTAGCTGGAGCACTGAAGGACAACAATCGTGCTGTTGTACTTGGAGAACCTACTTATGGAAAAGGGTGACTTCTGTACCATTTTCTTTATGCCTCGTAAAAATCATACTTAAAAATGTTGATCGATATCTCCATTTTTGTGTTATTTATTCTGCAGCAAGATACAGTCAGTTTTCGAGCTGTCTGATGGCTCTGGATTGGCTGTAACTGTTGCTCGTTATGAAACACCTGCACGTACTGACATTGATAAGGTTTCTCTTTTGCTCTCTTCTTCTTCTTTTTTCTCCCTTTGTTATTAACTTGTTATGCACTTTCTCTGCGAGAAGGTTGGCATAATTCCCGACCATCCTCTGCCAGTTTCATTTCCGAAAGATGAAGAAAGTTTGTGTGGTTGCCTTCTGGACCGTACATCTGCTTGCTACCTAAATAGGGCCGAATTATTCTCCAGATGATACTTCAAGAAGCAATTTCTTTCTATGGATTCTTTTATTCTTATTGACATTCTGGATGAGGTTGAAGTTGGAGGCATGAACTTGGTTTTTGAATGTGCGAGGGAAAAGCCCTTTGGTCACCCTGTAAACCTTTTTGGAAAGATAATCCGAGTTGTATTATGCATGGTTGGCTTGTCTTGCTTGTATATTAACTATTGTATATTAACTAGTACCTAGCCTGCACGAGACATATATATTAAATGAGTTATTTTCATATACTGTCCATTTCAGTCTAATAAAATTGTATCATCTATTTTCTACTCCTTTATATATTAAATGAGTTATTTTCATGAACTGCTCATTTAACTCTAAAAACAATAAAGTTGGATTATCTATTTTTTTACCTCTAATTAATAGCGTTGCATTTTTAATAAGAATATTAAATATGAGCATGTTAGCACTAGCATATATATTAATTAATATGTTATCTCACTAACACGTTATAATGCTATAAATTTGATTTTGGTATATATATTTATTTATTTCTTGATATAAGAAATAATATTAGTTTTACTTATTCTCATAATTATTATTTTATCATAAACTTTATTGACATATAATGTTAATATGTTTTATAAAAGTTGTAAAAGCAATACATTTGTTTATTCTTTTTATTTTATGTAATGAAAAATATTTAATACACGTTAATATTATTTATTTTTGTAACCAACTTATATCATGTAAATAAACTCAAAATTAAATAGCTTATAAATATTTTACAAATATACACACATATTTTTTTAGAATATAGATTCGTATACTGATTAAATAACTTTGATTTAACAAATGCAAAAAACTCAATTCCTTCCATAATCAAGAGATTTTTCTAATTTGCATCATAAGACTTTATAGTTTATTTATACTTTGCAATGGAAGAATATTTTAATGATTCAAAAAATTAAACATGGCTGACAATAATATACAAATAGATTCAAAATAACAGTTAATATATATATTTTTTTTCATTTGACTGTTAGTTAAATTATTTAATGTATCTGGGTCATTATCTCTTAAATGGTAAATTATATTAATTTAAGGAATAATTTATTTTTATATATAATGAAATAAAGTTTAAGAAATAAATATATTGGCAAAGATTATTCACCAACTTGATTTCGCTTGATTAATTGGCAGAAAAATTATACCTAACATGTTACGATTTTCTATAAATATTTTAGGATATGAATATTGGTGAAAAAAAAAATAAAACTATGGTAAGAACTTAAATATGTTTTAATATTTATCTTGACCAAAATATTATGAACATGAATCACAGAAAATTAATTTTGTAGTTTATTATAATCGATATCAATGAAATTATACAGATATTAATAAAAGTATCCAATGAAACAATATTTTTGATATATCTTATTTGAAAACATGTATATGGAAGGAACTAATACATACATTTAAAAAGTTTCCAAAAAAAAGTATACATTGAATGTTACTAAAATCTTTGGCTACTATTTTTAGTAAATTGTTATTCTTTATATATATATATATTTGAATAGAAGTTTTTCTATAAAAAAAACATCGAGTCCGCATATAGTATCAAAATATTCGTTTATATTAATTTCCTAACAAATTTTATTAGAAAAAAAAAACAGCCATAAAATAATCCTAATAAATTTGTCCTATTTATACCATATAATGATTAAATTATTTTTCATATAAACTTACTATTAAATACAAAAAAAATGGCCCACTTTGTACCATATATTAATTGATTGATTCCCCATAGAAAAAATTCAAATACCATAAATAAAGTCGTCCACTTTAAATATATTGATTGATTTACTTCCTATAGAAAAGGTAATCAAATAACAAAAATAAATTCACCAACTTTATACCATATTTTGATTGATTTATTTCCAGATATAGTAAATAATATTTTTTTTTGCGAGAAATATTTACTATTTTAAAAATAATCAAACCTTTTTTTATATATATAGATTGCATAAAGATACAAAATAATGTTAGATTAATTAAGATATGTTAGATATTATCTTAACATGTACATAAATTCCATCATAATAGAGTATATGTGTCAAATATGACATGGTGCTAGTATTAAAAATTTATATGCAAATATTTGAACATGTGTATGTTCAAATAAAGTAACATGGAATCGTAAATTGCCACATCAAATTAAAATTTTTTATCTATATATAGGCAATATAGATATTAAAATAAAAACTATATATAATATTTATTTATCATATGACATGTGGATCTTGTGTTTGATGTTCCAAAATGAATAAAAAAGACAAATTATTTTAAATAAAATATTTTAGTTCAAATTTATTTTAATGATTAATTAAATGATATTGATATATTACTTGTTTTTATAAGAAGAAATGTAATATATAACGAAAGGAACTCATACGCACAAAGGGAAAGAGAGACAAATAATAAGTAGGATATTGAAATGAGAATTCAAGATAAATAATAATGTATAAGATTATATATTATTTATAACAAATAATTATGTCACTCACGAAGAAAAAATGTTTAATATATGCAAGTTTGTAATGCATATTCACAATAATTGGTCAAGACA